TTTTGAGATTTGGGCATGCACATGCACATACTCAGTATTTCTCAAGTAACCAGGTCTAGGACTCAAACCAGACAATCAGTCACATGGGAACCAGTCGCCCTAAACACCACGCCACCAGCTGGCCCCAGTGAAGACATTATTAACACCCAGTTTGTGGTTTTAATCTATCCATACCATCTTTCACTAAAGAAACCACGTTTCCTTGGAGAAATGGCCAAGTCCAGACCATAACAGAACATGTAAGTGATGACGGCTTGGGCATCTCTTACAACAGAATGCAAGCAAGCTGCTCAAGATGATGGGGTCATGCCAAAGTGAGTGTCTTAGTTGGCTACTGTGTTGCTTACGGATATACTTGATCTTTTATAAAGCAGAACTCTGGGGGCCAGCTGGTGGCATGGTGGTTAAGGCAGCTGGATTGCATAGCTGATTTCATGGTTTGAGTCCTGGACTCACTGTGGGACTAGCAAATGGTATAAAGGTTACATTCCTGGACTCCCACATAGTCGACAGCAGTTTGAGTCCTGGACCCACTGGCTTAAAACTCACACTGGGCACATGTGTGTGAGTGCCCGAGATCCTATGAGGAGAATGGAAAAGAAGGGACTGCAGTGTGGCCAGCCCCCTGGAGAGTAATTTCTTGCTTTCTGTCTCTCCGACTCTCTGTCTCTCTGGTGAGTGCATGTGCCCTATAGCAAAAATTGAAAAAAAAAAAAAAAAAAAAGAAAAAGAAAAGAAAAAGAAAAAACAACCACACTGGGCATAAGTGCATGCCAAAACCCTGAGAAAATGGAGAAGGGCTTATGGTGTAGCATCCCTCTTGGTGGTGGTCCCTCCTGGTGGGGGGGGGGGAGAGTAATTTCTCACTTTCCCATTCTCTCTTTCTCTCTCTCCAGTGAGTGCATGCGCCCTATAGCCAAAAAAAAAAAAAAAAAAAAGAATAGAGGTTTGGGCAGCCTATGGCATGGTGGTTAAAAAAGCTGGCTCCCACATGATCAACTGTGTAGATGAGTCATAGACCTGACAGCTTGAAAAACATACTGGGCACATACTATGGTGTGACCATCCCCATGAGGGGGCTCTCTCTCCCTCTCTCTGCCCCCTTCTTTCCAGTGAGTGCATGTGTCCCTTGGTAAAAGTAAGAAAGGGAAGAAAAAAAAAAAAAAAAAGAGTTCAGGTTTATTTTTATTTGACTTATGATCTGGTGGTTACAAAGTCCAAAGGTGTGTGGTGTGTGGCTGGCATCAGGCAGGCTAAATCACAATGTTGCCAACAGATCAGAAAACATGGCAGGTGTGTGCAGAGGCCTAGGGATAGCCATCTTCCTTTTGTAACAACCCACTCACAAGAACTAACCCCTTGCATGAGAACTGGAACTCACTGGGTCTCATGAAACATCACAAATCTATCCATGAGACTGATACCTCCACAACTGAATCACTGCCCACTAGGCCTCGCCCCCTTTTGAAAATTATTTTATTTAACTTTATTTACTTATTTATTTTCATGTGGCCAGAGTAGGGGGGGATATAGAGAGAAAGAGGGGAAAAAGTGAGAAAGCAAGCCGGCAGGTTCAGGATTCAAACCACAGTCGGTCATGTGGGAGTCAGCATCCTTAACCTGCAGGCCCCAGGGCTTACCTCTTACCACTTCCCAATATCATTACATTAGGGACCAAATTCTAAAACATGAACCTTTGGGGGACAAACTACTATCCAAATCATAGTGAGAGAACATGTGCCAACTTGATTAAGCTCCCATTGGCCAATATGGGACAATTTAAACATTAGAAAAATATTATCTGCAATGGACTGAAATACGAATGTGTTAAAAATTCATGAGCTAGGGGTCAGCAGGTGGTGTACTGGTTAAGGTGCTTGATTCCCACGTGGCCAACTGTGGTTCAAGTCCTGGACCTGGCAGCTTGAAACTCATGCAGAGTGTGTGTGCACGCATGCCCCACATTCTGGGAGGACAATGGAGAGCAAGGACTGTGGTGTGGCCATCCCCCGGGGAAGGACTTTCTGCTTTCTGTCTCTCTGGCAAGCAAAAATCTCTATAAAAAAAAAAATCATGAGTTTATAATGAAAACAAAACAGAGCTTGCTAGTCACCTCTAGAAGTTACTAGGAATCCAATTCATTATTCTGAAAATGATAAAGTGAATATAATGAAGTATTTGTTTTCTCTTTCCTACCGGACAGTATTTCAGGTTATTCCAATGATTCTTTATGGAATAACAGATGCCAATAAAAACAGGAGAGATAATAAAATTGGAAAATAACCATTATGTAACTTCAGAGAAATAAAAGACATAGCAATAATCATAAATAGCTGCAAAAATCATTAAGTGAAAAGTTTAATGGGTAACTTCATAATGAGTGAATCAGGCTGCAAACACATTGATTTTTACTCATTTATTTATTTTAAACAGGGCCTCCCTGTGTCACAATCCTGCCTTAGCCTTCAAAGTAGCTAGGACCACACTGGGTCTTTCTGACAGTTTCACAGGTCAGTCTCCAGTTCATGATCCTCCTCCCCAGCCTCCCTAGTTACTGGGATTACAAATACACGACAATGCTAGCCTTTAGGCTGAACTGGGAATCAAATCCAGGCCTCCCATGTGGTTCTAGCCTGCAGAGCTCAGTGTCTAAGCAACACATGCAAACTGGCTGGGCCCCACCAATCAATCTTAACATCATCAAAGGAGAGAAAACTAGACAGTACTTCCTCCTGAGAGGATTCAGTAACAAATGCACAGCACCCCAATAAGGTGTATATTTTGAACAGCAAATATAATACCTGAATCTAATCAATCCTCTTTACAGGAAGTATTGAGATCGAGAAGCATATTGAATGACATTATGATTTGGTGGGAAAGGTGTACAGGACAGATGATCAAGGTTTCTCACTAAGTTGATCACATGGAAAAATAAGAGGTGAGGGAGACACTGTTCTATACTGAACAAACCTAAGAGACTTCTCCACAAAATGCAGTGCTGGCTCTCTTTTGGATCCTGACTCAAACGCATGAACTGCGAAAGCTCATTTTTAAGACAACTTGGGAAATTTTGAAACAACCTGGGAAATTTGAATTTTATGAAATAACTATGGTTAATTCCATTGTGAACAATAACGTTTCATTTTTCAAAAATACTTTATAAAAAGCACTTTTACACATATAATCTGGAGGATAGATACCCAAGGATGTTTACTGGTCAAGAGTGACACTCTCCTGGAAACCTTCCATTTATCCCCCCAAAATAAAATGACAAATCCCTGACCTGTTATTAAAAGTGACCATCTTTGGGACCAGCAGTTAGCGTAATGGCTATGTCGCTGGACTCCCATGCAGTCAACCGCGGTTCGCATCCTGGACCCGGTGGCTTAAATTCACGCTAGGCGCGTGTGCGTGCGTACCCAAGATCCCAAAAGGAGAACGGAGAAGAAGGGATTACAGTGTGGCCATCCCCCTGGGGGGTGATTTCTTGTTTTCTGTCTCTCTGTCTCTCTCTGTCTGGCGAGCGCATGCACCCTATGCCAAAAACCTCTCCTCCGCCAAAAAAAAATTAAAAGTGACCATCCTCATCCATTTCTTCTTTTTTTAAAGAGGTTTTTGCTTTAGGGCATGTGCACTTGTCGGGGGCAGGGGGAGACAAAGACAGAGATGGTAAGAGAGAAAGTGAGAAATCACCCCCCAGGAGGGATGGCCACTCAGCAGTTCCTCTCCTCCATTCTCCTCCTGGGATCTTGGGCATGCAAGCACACATATCCAGCATGATTTACAAACTACCAGGTCCAAACTCCAACCACAGTCCAGCAACATAACTGCTATGCCATCTGCTGGTCCTGACACTGCATTCTCAAACAAACTAGACCATTTAAGGTTCTCTACACAGGTCTCACACTTTTCTTCGGCAGGCCTTTGAAGGGCTTGGAATGAATGCCTTTCTGCTATCTCAATTTGTCCAAATCCTAAATGCCACCCTCTTAAAGACCCATTCCAAAAGTTAACTTCCATGATAAGGCCTTCTTTGGCCCTTCATTAGAAGTAATTCATCCTATAGTTCATTTGTGACATCTACAATACTCTATACTGTTATTTTAAAGGTAGATTCATACATTCATGCAACACATAATTATTAAGTCCCTACTATTGGTCTGTACATCCAGCACACATTTATTGAACACTCACCATATTTTAGACCTGTACTAGGGGCTAAGAATGCTATAATGAACAGACAAACACTGTCTCTGACTACAGGGAGGTTACAGTGTAGTGAAGGAAGACCACAACTAATGATGTAAGAAATTGCTCACAATTACGAGAAACGGTACAAAAAGAAAGAGGAGAGGATGAATTAGGCGTTAGTCACTCCTGGGCCCTGTCACACAATGTGCACAATCTAGCATTAACTACTTTTTAAATGAATTCACCATGTGCCTCAATTTTTAGCAATGAAGTACTCCTGGAATGTTTGGGGTACAAATACCCCGGCATACAGATGGCTGTCAAGAAATAAGCATGAATTCTTTTCACTACGTGTTGCACCTGTCTAGAAGGAAATTAACTAGGCGCTGGATTCCAGTCTCCTAGATCTAGGCCTGCCAAAAGAGGTGAACGTAACAAGCACTCTAGAAATCAATACGAAAAGAAAGAGATTAAAACAGCCAGCGTTCATATCAGGAGTCCCCTGAGATGACACCAATATCCCCATTTCGAGGGTGAAATAACTGAGGCTCGGAGAGAGAATGGGATCCAATAATATGACACCATCCAACTCCCAGGCCCAGGGAGTCATTCTTCCCGCCTTCATAACTCTGCGAGCCCCGCCGCCCCTGGAAGCCGGGCCCAGGTCTGCACCCCTTCCCAGAAGGCTCTGCGACGCCGCGGAGAACTCTGGGATGCAAACGTCCACGGTGAGGGCGAAGATCCGAGTCCGAAAAGCTGCCGCTTAACCTCTCCGGAATGCCTCCTTCGATCCTTTTGTGTGTGCTTACCTTTCCTGGAATTCCCGCCATCCGGGACCTCACTAACGCCCGCAAAGGCGGGGAACAGCGCCATGACTACAGGCCCCACCGCCGTTTCCGTCTACAGAAATGGCGCCGCCGAAGGAGCGCCGGCCTGAGGCCGCCGCCGTCGCAGTGCACTCTGGGAAGTGTGGTTTTCCTGGAGCTGGCGGGCGGGACCGCTTGGGTGGTGGAGACCGGAAGTGCGGAACCGGCAGAGGCGGAATTGTTCTGAGCTGAAAGCGACCAGGAAGTTGGGATTCCGATTCCACCTCTGAGCTCACAGCCTCCGGTAGTGATTGGGTCAAAAGCAACACTCTACGTTTTAGTTTACCGTGAAATGTTAAAAAGATTAAATGAGGACCGACAGGTGGCGTGGTGATTAAGGCGTTGGATCCCACGTAGCGACTCCCTGGTTTGAGTCCCAGACCTGTTAGCTTGAGAAACACCAGGCACATGTGCATGCTGCCCAAAAGTCCGAAGGGAATGGAGAAGGGATTGCTGTATGGTCATCTCTGGAAAGTGATTTTTTTTTTTTTAACTTTCTTTCTCTTAAACACACACTCCCTATAGCAAAAATCTTCAAAAGTAATTAAAAAGGGGGCCAGCAGATGGTGTAATGGTTATGTCACTGGACTCCCGTGTAGTCGACCATGGTTCGAGTCTCCGACCCAGTGATTTAAACTCACGCTGGGTACTTGTGCACGCATGCCCAAGATTGTGAGAGGAGAATGGAGAAGAGATTGCCGGTGTGGAGGCGTGATTTCTTGCTTTATGTCTCTCCTGGCAAGCGTCACGTGCCTTACAGCAAAACAAAACAACTCTCAAAAAATTTTAAAAACAAGAGGACCATTAAATGAGCATAACAGCCAGCCCTCAATGGCATACCTGTTTATCCACTGCTGGAACTTAGGACGGAATCTCCAGCAGGAAAAGCCTCTTGGTTAGAATTCAGTACATAAGGGCCAGCAGGTAGTATGGTGGTGAAGGGCGCTGGACTCCCACATGGCAGACCAAGGTGCGAGGCCAGGCAGCTTGCTTGCTCACTTTCTCTCTCCTCCTCTCTCACTTTTGCTCTCACTCTGTCCCTCTCTGGTCAAATTAAAAATATAAATGAGTTAGATAATACTTTTTAAAAATTTTAGTACATAAATCATTCACAATCACACAAGACTACATATTTCTTTTATAAGTGTGTACTTTATTGTGCATCCATAATTATATTCTAAATAAGTAAAGGTGATTACTCCAGCTTTATATTACTGTTGTGGTGTGTCTTGTCACTTTCTGGCACTTATCTAATGTATGTTTTGTGTATGGGTAGGATTACATTATTCTTTTTTATTTATTAATTTAATTTTTTTTGAGAGGTTTTTGCTATAGGGCATGTGCATTCACAAGAAAGACAGAGAGAGACAGAGAGATAGAAAGCAAGAAATCACCCCAAGGTGGGGTGGCCATGCCACAATCCCTTCTCCTCCATTCTCCTCTCAGGATCTTGGGCATGCAAACACACACCCAGCGTGAGTTTAAGCCAGCAGGTCCGGGACTGGAACCTCAGTCAACTACATGGGAGTTCAGCGACATAGCCATAATGCTAACTGCTGGTCCCAGGATTACATTATTCTAATGTGGTGTCATGTAGTATCTATTGAAAACTACATACCCTATGGCACCACAAGACATCTGCCTTTAAGCTCCTCTCTTATCAACCAATTTGCTTAATGCCCTAATTGTAGGAAGGGAACTCAGTGGTTAAGTGAAGAGTGTCTGTATATGTGTATACACACACACACACACACACTCACACACAACACAGCAATAGCATTGTGTCCGGCTTATAGAAAGCACTTAATAAATTAGCAAATTATAGGGGCCAGCAGATGGTGTAGTGATTGAATCCTGGATTCCCACATGGCTGATGGAGATTGGAGCTCCGAACCTAGCTGCTTGCTTTCTCACTTTCTCTGCCCCCCTCTCTGGTGAGCACACATGCCCTATAGCAAATTTAAAATAATACTGATAAATAAAATTATATAATTCTGTTTACAAAATGGAAATTAAAAAATTAGCTATTATGTGAGTTGTGATTGCAAGTTCCACCCAAAGTCAGATGAGACAGTCTAACTTAAATCAGGTTGCCATTTTAAATGATGTATTCTAGAAATTCAAAGGAATTCAAGGACCCATAAAGTACAAAAGACTTTGACAATACATTTGAGGATACATTTACCTACCTATGGAGTGTTCTTGACCCTCTCTCCCAAATTAAAGCTAATAAAGCCTACTACTAGAAATACAGGAGAATAAAGTTAACACAAAAGACTTCAGACCACCTAGGACCAATTAGCTAAATCCAGAAGGTGGCAAAGTATTTTTTTAAGCTTTCTATTTTTAAAAAAGAATTATTTATTTAATGTTTTATTTATTCATTCATTTATTTTAATTTGACCAGACAGACGCATACACAGAGAGAGAGAGAGAGAGAGGTAAAGAGGGAAAGCAAGCTATCCCGTCTGGGACTCGAACCATAGGTGGCCATGTGGGAGTGTCCAGCACCTTAACCACCGCACCACCAGCTGGTCTCTGGTGGCAGATTATTTAAAAAAAATGTTTTAAGTAACTGGTTTTCTTCAACAGATCAGTGACTTTAAGAGAGCCAGAGATTGCAAATAGATTAAAAGATCTTAAGGTTAGCAGATGGCATACTGGTGACGTCACTAGACTCCCACATGGCTAACTGCAGTTCGAGTCCTAGACCCAGTGCCTTGAAACTCACTCCAGGCATGTGGCATGCGGGCTCAAGATTCCAAGAAGAGAATGGAGAAGCAGAGATTGCATTGTGGCCATCCCTCCCCCTGGGGAGGGTGATTTCTCACTTTCCCTCTAGCTGTCTCTGTCTCTCTGGTGAACACACACGCCCTAAGGCAAAGACTTCTAAAACAATAGACAAAAGATTTTAGAGACAGTCAAATGTAATATATGATGTTGTTATGATTGTGATTGGATAAATTGTTAAAAAAAAAACTTTCTAAGATAGAGGGAGAAATAAGGTAGAGTATTACATGACATCTAGTAATTCTTGTTAATTCTGTTAGATGTATTCATGACACTGAGGTTACTTTGTTAAAGTTCATGAGGCTGGACAGTGGCATAGCAGTTAAGCATGATGCTCTGCTAGGTAACCCATGAGAGAAGGCTGCCAGCTTATATCCAGAGACCTCCCTGGGCACACATGTGCCTATGATCTGGGGCTGGCTGAAGCTCAAGAGAGATTACTGCATAAAGCCCAGGTCAGAGGTGTTGTATCTCTCTCTTTCTCATGGAATAAATACACTTCTTCAAAAGTTCTAAAAAGTTAATTTCTTATATATTATATACCTGCTGAATTACTTGCAATGAAAATAGATAAGTGAAGATCTATTCTTGGTACCCCAGGGAGTTCAAAGATCTTTAGAGTTAGATAGAATACATTAGAAACCAGAGATGCAAATCTAATCATCTAATCAAAGGATATATGGAAGGTTGTGAAGCCTGCAGATCTGTGTGAGAATTAGGTCTGTGAGCACAGAATCAGCAACCTCCAAAAGGGGGCTTAGTATGACTGTGGGGACAGTAATCCCCGGCATGCTGGCAACTTTGCCTCTCAGGGCCTCCCAGAAACTCTGACTCTAAGTCACTTCAATTTCTTGGACCAGTATCTGCCTTCCTTAGTAGATTGCGCCAGATAACTGGAATAGTAAGTCTTCCCCAACACTTGATATCTTTCCAACCCAAGAAGATAACGATTAGTAAAGAAGGTTTAAGAAATCAAAATCATAGTAATGTTTCTATAATAAGAATCAATCTGAGATGTTAGGTTATATTTCTTTTCCTTCGATTTATGATAGGGTGCGTTTCCTCGCCTGTGAAAGATGAGGTGGAGGGAGAAAGTAAAGCCTCTCAGTCTGAACCACTGTGGCCGGGCCACTGCCTGAACCACTGTGGCTGGGCCACTGCCTGATTTGCTTTTTGTTTGTTTGTTTGTTTTTTCTGATTTTCTTTCCTTTTTTTCTCTCCTTTTCTCTTTTCTTGTCTTTTCAGGTTTTTGCCACAGGCAAATTCACTTTCTGGAGAGAGACAGAGAAAGGTAAGGAGAGGGAAAGTGGGAAATTGCACAGACACACACACACACACACACCAGGGGATGTCCACACCATAACCCCTTCTCCTCCATTCTCCTCTCAAGATTTTGGGCATCCACACACATGCATCCAGCGTGACTTTCACGTCACAGGCTCCAAGACTCAAACTGCTGGTTGGCCATATGGAAGTTCAGCACCTTAACCACCACACCACCTGCCGGCTCCACTATCTGATTTTTTAAAAGTATAAGGAGGTGGGCCGGCAGGTGGCGTGTGATTAAGGGTGCTGGACTCCCATGTGGCTGACTGTGGTTCTAGTCCTGGACCTGGCGTCTTTTTTTCTCACTTTATCTCTCTCTCTCTCTCTTTCTCCCTCCCCCCCCCCCCCCAACCTGGTCAAATTAAAATAATGTTTAAAAAATTATTTAAAAAGTATAAGGAGGATTTTGCATTTGTTGTTTTAATAAATTGAATACTTAATTCTTAAATCAAGGGTCAGCCAAATTTTTATGAAGAGTCACATAGAAAATACTATAGACTTAGCAGGACATATGGTCTCTGTTGCAACTACACTGAAATTTGAATTTCATACAATTTTCACATGTCAAAAATATTATGTTTGAGGCCAGTAGATGACACATTGGTTACATTACTGGACTCTCACAAGGCCAACCACAGTTCAAGTCCCAAATATGGTGGCTTGAAAATCATTCATGCACGGGTACGTGTGTATGCATGCCCAAGATCTCAGAGGAGAATGAAGAAGAAGGGATTGCGATGTGGCAATCCCCTTGCGGGGTGATTTCTCACTTTCCCTCTCACCGTCTCTGTCTCTCTCTCTCTCTCTGGCGAGCTCACGCACCATAAGGCAAAAACCTTGGGAACCAGCAGTTAGCGTAATGGCTATGTCGCTGGATTCCCACGTAGTCGACCGCGGTTCGCGTCCTGGACCCGGTGGCTTAAAACTCACGCCAGGCACGTGTGTGTGTGCGTGCCCAAGATCCCAAGAGGAGAATGGAGGAGAAGGGATTGCGGCGTGACCATCCCCCCTGGGGGGTGATTTCTCGCTTTCTGTCTCTCTGTCTCTGTCTGTCTGGCGAGCACACGCGCCCTATAGCGAAAACATCTCAAAAAAAAAAAGTTAAAAAAACCTCTAAAAAAATTATTCTCCTTTCTAGTTTTCCCAACATGTTTAAATGTAAAAACCATTCTTAACTCATGGAACATCCAAATTGG